GGGCCGGCCACGTCCCGGCGGGTTTGGGGCCTGGCGCTCGGGGCTCCGGGTCTTCGGGGCGCACCGAGCTGGGCCTCGCTGGAAGGGGAACACCGCTGTGAGCGACGGCCCCAGGACAGCCCGAAAATGCCAGAACCCGCCCGACTGCAGGACGGGCCCGGCCGCCACCCCTCCGCCTGCTGTGCCCGAGGCGCTGGGGACGCGGGTGGGGACCAGAAACTAACTGCGGGCCGTGGGACGTTCGCTGGAAAAATCGTGAATTAATTTAAAACACTAGGCAGCCACAGAGACACACAACTAGTTCAAAGTCTGTGAGAGCCTGAAAAAATACAGACGATGCAGTAAATTTATAACCACGCAAAAAGCAGGTCTAGGAAAAATACCAGCAGAGTGGGCCTCGAAATGATAGTGACAACAGGAATCACGGATGTCTCGTTAACTTTTAGGCTTACAGTAAATTTTACAATTTAAAAGGTGAATTTAAAAAGTCCTGGTCTCTCAGGTGTTCATTCGATAAAGAAAAACCTAACCTTGAGGGGTGGGGGTCCCTAACGAAGGCACCGATGAGCCAACGAAACAGCAAATATTGGTACCATGTAACCATTAAAATGAGCTAGAGCTACACATATGAACATGAACACATCTCAAAGACAGCTGGCGAGGGAGAGAAACACGGATCGGCTGCCTCCCTCTCGCGCTGACCCAGGATGGGCCCCGCAGCCGTCTCTCTACTCACTTTTAATAGGAAACTTGACTGTGCTTATGTCAGAGTTTCCTTGGTTGCATTCTGAATAATTCTTTATTGCACATGAGGAAAAAGCCAGCTACANGTGCCGGACCGTGCTCCTGCAGCCGGGGCCCTACTCACTTTTAATAGGAAACTTGACTGTGCTTATGTCAGAGTTTCCTTGGTTGCATTCTGAATAATTCTTTATTGCACATGAGGAAAAAGCCAGCTACAGCTGAGGGCAGTTTCACTATTTTCAGTTTTTCCTGCGGGTGGACACGGGGGCAGAGCTAGCACCACTCAAGGGGATGTCGGAACGTCTCCATAGTCCTTTTGGCTTTTGTCTGTCTAGTAAGAGTAACGCATTTGGGGAACACTTTGTGTTCTGAGTGATCTGCTCATGCCCCATGCTCCTGAGGCGGGTGGTCGCGGTCCCTCTCCCCACGACACGGCGAGGCGACTGCCCACACCTACCTCTTTAAACGCTCTCAGTCGCTGCAGGGTCTTCTGGCGCTCCTGGCTTATCCACTCGCTTTTCCTTTGCTCTTCCTCTTTAATCTTGTCTCTCTTCTGTATTAAAACAAGTTGCATTTGTAAATTCCCTAAAATAAAATTCTTGGGAGAGAAAGGGGTCATAACCCAACATTATCATCTCCCCGGGGCCACCACCGCGCCCACAGGCCTGGGCTACAGCCTCGAGGGGTCGAGGCCACAGCAGCAGGCCCAGGCGGGGATCCAGGGTGCAGAGCGAAGCCAGTGTGCACGTGATGCAGACCTCAGGGAGCTTTCTCCACTCACCATCTGAATGCTGTGGTGCTGATGAAAATATCTCTCACTTTCCTCAGCCTGTCGCAGTCGGAGCCGATGGTTTTCTTTGCATCGATCCTGGTGGAACAACACAAATCACCTACATGGTTTCACTATTACCACGGGCCATCATGTGAAAGGTAAAAGAAAAAAGCATAGCGTCGGGGCTGCCGTGTAAGACATTCACAAGTAGGAGATTTGGAGAGGCTCAGCGGTGCCACCGCATCAGCCTTGTGATTGGGGCAGATGGGCCTGTGCAGGATCAGTTGTGCCCGATCAGAAGGGCCGCAGATTTAGTGCTTTAAGAGACGAAAAAGTGAATTCTCCGACCAAGGGGAAATGAGGGGACATGCAGGAGTCCCCCATTCTTACATGGCACCTGTCCTAAGAATGTTTCAATGCTGCTGTTTTAAGCACATTTCCCCATAATGTGCAAACAGTAATTATACTTCCAAATATACCTACATGGGCATATATCCAACCTACAAGTACCTGAAAAATCATATTAAAAACTTTATTTCAATGATGCTTAACCATCTGAGCATGTTACCTTTTTATATAATCATGGAATTTTTTTAAATTAAGAAAAAAACCACTGACTATAAAGATTGAAATGAGCTAAATATTATCCCTGTTTTTACAATCAACAATTTACACTAAATCTTAGAATTCACTATAGCTGATAATTAGAAGTTTTTACTTACGATTTTAAAAATACCTGTGTATATACTAGGCATTCAACAGCCACTGGATAAATTACAATCTAGAGATGATTATGGTAAATGCTTAAATCCCCAAAGAAACAATCATTTCAAGAAAAAAAATTGCAACTATATTGCAATTGCAGCTACTGGTATCCTTATCAACACACACAAAATAAGGTAAAAGCCTTATTTTCGATCCCTCTTTATCTTTCATGAAAGAAGAAATGCCTGGAAGAGGAAAGCGAGGAAGCTGCCCTGGCGCCCACCTTTCTGTTCCTGAGGTAGGCTCTCCGGGTGCAGATCCTGCCCCGTTGACGCTCCAGCTGCTGGCACTGCCGACGGAGCTCTCTCACCCCCAGATTCCTGTCATCCTGCATCCCCATTATGTGTTCACTGACTTTAAGCTCCTCTGGACTTTCACATGGGTCATAATAGACAACTTCATTCTGTTTATCTAAAAAAAAAAAATAATGATTTTTTTACAGACATGTTTTATTATTTTAAAAAAGTAAAAATTTTAAATGTAAGGAAAGTAAAGGTCACGTGTAATCTTACCACCAGGGAGAACACTATTAACATTTATGTGTATGTACACACACATGCGCGCACACACACGCATGCACACAACTACTTACACAGCCACACATATCAGTAAACAGTTCTAAGAAAACATTTTCCGTGTGATGGAAACACAATTTTAATGGCAACACAGTATTCTCCAAACAATCTCTGTTGTTAGAATGTTCCATTGTTATCAGTTTCACTGTGGTGAACATCTCTGAATGCAGACCTTTGTGTACGTTTCCTATTACTTCCTTAGCAGATGAATGTTTAAGACTGTTTATAACGATCATCAAATTGCCCCCCAGATGGCAACTTACATTCTGCGAGCAGTAAATGACTGAGGGGCCCTAATGGTATGTAATCTTGATTACATGTTGATTTTTTAAAAATACATGTATGCTAATTCTAACAAACTGAAGCCCTACAGAAGTACATGAAATAAAAAGTCAAATTTTATTTTCCTTTCCCAGACCTTTGGAGTCCCAGCCCTCCAGAGGGAAACACTAACAATTTGACATGCATTCTTCCAGACTTAACTTTTTTTAAATAAAGTTTTACCTAAATATGTAAAATGCTTATAATCTAGAACTACTATGAAATTTTTTGAATACTTAGGATCTGTATGGAAAAATTATAAAACTTGCAGAAACTTTAGGGAAAAAGAAAAAACTTAAGTAAATGGAGAGACCTACCATGTTCGTGGATGGAAGGACTCATAATGGCAAAGACGACAATTCTCCCCAAATTAATCTCTAATTTTAAGCACAATCCCAATAAAAATTCCGAGTGTTTTGATTTTTTTGTTTTGAACGTGTCAAAATGATTCTAAATTTCATCTGGAAGATAAAGGAGAAGTCAGAGAGTGTGTGGAAGGAACAGCAGGGTGACTGGGCGGATGTGCTGCTCTGAGATGGGCCTCAGGACACAGCAGGAGGAGGTGGTACCAGTACCAGAAGCCGCTCACAGACCGGTGAAAGAAAATAACAGTTCATGAGCCGATCAAATAATAAGTATAACAATCTGGGATATGAGACAGGTAGCAAGTCAGAGCGGTAGGGGACAATGTTTGCAAAGCCAGTGGCTGGGACTGCTAACAACTTGGGGGGAACATTAGATTCCTGCCCCACATCAAAATAAATGTCGTCTGGATCAGAGAGCTAAATGTTCCTTTAAAAATCATACAAATACTAAGAGAAAAAAGTAAGTAAAATACTGACACAACTTCAGGATGAGAAGGACTTTGCCAGGTGTGACATCAAAAGAGAGAGTAAAAATTAACTATTTCTGCAAGCCAAGAAAAAGCAGGCCACGGAGAGTTTATTGGCAGCGTCTGACACATGAGAGAGGAAGAGCCTTAATATGCAAAGGAAACAGTCCAAAGAAAAACTGGCAAAGACCACGAATAGGCACTTAATAAAAATACAGATGGGCAGTCAGCACACAGAAGTGCCTTCAACCTCCCTGGTAACTGGAATAAATGAAAATTAGAAGATGCCATTTTTTTTGCTATCAGTCAGGTAAGACCTTGAAAGAACGGTGAAAGTATGGAATGGAAACAGGTATTTTCATAATCTGCTGATGGGAATGCCATTTTGTGCCACCTGTCTAGAGGACCATTATGTGGCAGGAAATTTAGAAATTAGAAAATAACAGAGGTGAGGAAAAATATACCCCAAATGATTGCTGTTGTGTTGTTTTAACACATACTTGCCAAAGGTAAATTTTGCACTGTCCTTGACCCAATGATTTCATCTTTAGAAACTTACTCCAAGGAAATGATCTGCCCCCCACACAGACGGGTCTTCACTACACTGCTGCTCACAACAGTGAAAAGCTGGAAACCAGTCGGTATGTCTGTATAATGGAATACTATGCAGCCATTAAAATTTTTGGAGATTTTTATCACTTACTGAAACGGAATGACGGTCGTTACATATTAAAGGAAACAGGATACAGTTTTAGTCTAAAAACTGATGTTTATATACATCAGGCTACAAAGCTGGTCAGTGCATTATTATCAGTGAGTATCTCCACCTGATGGAACTGGAGAGTAATAATAGTTCTCCTTTATTTTACTGGATGTTTAACCATGAATATATCATTTGAGTTATAAAAATACTGAAGGGAAACTTTACAAACTTTCAGCAGGTATTTTAGACAATTTACAAGAAGTAATTGACAATATGGTCTGCATTTCCTTGAATGTGTAATTTAAATCTTTTAACTTATATTTTAAATATAAAATTTACCTTTTATAACTCTTTTAATAGATTCCAACTGTGTAATGAGTAGCATTTCTTCATAGTTTAATATCTCGAACTTAACCTCATATAGGTCTAATTGAACTTCGTAATACTGTATCTCTAGTTTGTCTACAACACCTGGGTCTTTTTCTTCTTCTGGAAGATCTTCCATCTTGTTTTCATGAAAAAAAATAAGAGCAAGATAAAATATTTAGAATATGGAAAGCAAACGTTAGAAGCATCTGAGCTACTTCCTGTTCCTTGCCCGGTACCAAATATAAAGGAGCACGTCGAGAAGAAACACTCCTCCACTTCATCCCGTGGAACAAAAATGCCCCATTAAACGTTTTTACAAATATTTTATCTCATCGTTGAAACACATGGAAACATTTAGGTTCTGAGAAAAATAAATAGCAGTGAGGTCTTTACGGCGCTTTCTGCTTTAACGTCATAACACTGCAGGGAGACATTTAAGTGACTACGATCCTAGATTGAAGCACCTCTGATTATTCTGAAGGCGTGCTGAAAATATTGCTCAGTCGATTTTGAAGTAGTTCCCCAGCCCTGGCTGGTGTGGCTCCATGGTTAGAGTGCCGTCCCGTACACCCAGAGGTTCCGGGTTCGATCCCCGGCCCGTGTGAGTGGAGGCAACCGATTGGTGTTACTCTCACATCAACATTTCTCTCTCTCAATATCAATTAAAAAATAATAATAATAAGCTTTAAAGTATATTGCCTACTTCAGTACTGAGTTCAATGTTATTATCAAGTGAATCCTACAATATAATATTTCAAAGCCATCTTGAGCAAAGGGAAACTTTATGGCCAACCGCCCCTAGTCCCGAAATTCCCGTCTTCTAGAAGATGGTGTTGGAATGAGAAAGGAAGCTCTTTAACAATGGCTGGAAGGAAAGATGGTATCTGAAGTCAAAGTCTATTTCTGAAGCGAAGTCGCCTTTATCTTGTCTTACCTTTCCCTGAATTTCAGCTCTTCGGTGATTTAAACACAACTCTCTGGCTCTCAGGAGCTGCAGCGTCTCCCGAGCTAACATCAGCTTGAGCCTTTCTAGCCTGGGCGCTGCCGTGGCCCAGGTAGCCTGGCCAAATCTCCTCTCATCCTGTTCCATCTGTTTCTGCATCCCTGTTGGATCATAATGGAAAAAATTAAACTTGATTGCGGCTCATTAAAAAGTGAAAAGCTTACCCTGAGCTAATTCTTTGTTTATTGCTTCCCATGTTACCTGCAAAACATCCTTTTTAAAAGGAAGTTTACTGTAATGACTTTTTTGTTGTTGTTACCGCACAAATAATACATGGCCCTTGGTATACAATTTTAGATACCTGATTTTTTTTCTTAAAAAGAGAAAAATAATCATGAATCTCACCTACTCACAATCACTTCTTGCGTTCTGGTGCGTACAGTCTAGACTAGACAGACAAGGTTATAGAGGTAGTTTGACCCAAAAAAGCCCCACAGGATCATCAGTCTTCTTTATAGGGTGGGACAAAAGTAGGTTTACAGTTGTTCATATGGAAAATACAATAGTTAATAAATAATAAGACAAGAATACGCTCTGTTTGGCATAGTCACACCTGGAAGTCTGCTTTTGCCTCACCCTGCATACCTTGTTTATTTCACTTACTAGATGGTGAGACTCTTGCCATTCATCAGACAGAGACTTACGCTTAGTAGCTGTGTAGCATTCTGTCCGATGAATGTACTAGGCTTTAACAAACAAACTGATTGACAGAGGTTCTTTCCTGTTTGGAACTATCGTGGAGGATGATTTAAGGGAAGACAGCACCCTTGGCCCAGCCCACAGGGCCCCCCGGGGTCTCTTGCTGTGGTCTTGCCCACACACTCTTACCCCACGTTCCCCACGCGCTGTTCCAGCCCCGGGGCGTTCTCAGAGTTCCTCACACTTGCCCAGCTCCCTCACAGCAGAGGGCCTCCGTCTCCGCTATTCCTTCTGCCTGGACCACTCTTCTCTCTCTTGTTCCCTCTCTCAAATTCCACTTGCCCTTCAGATATCGGGGCAGCTGCCACTCGTCAGAGGCCCCGCTGACCGCCCTGACGGAGCCTGATTTTTCTCTCAGGCGCAGGGCCCCATGTTTATCTCCTCCTTGTGGCTTCTCCCCCGTGCATTTGGATGAACATGTAAGTCAGGTCCATCTCCCCTCAGCAGGCTGGACAGTGCCTGTTTATGCTTGTCCTGAATCCCCAGGACCTAGTGCCTGGCACTAAAGAGACACTCAAGTGTTTTTTTGAATAAACTTAAAATTACATGTATGTTAGTTGTAGCATTTTATATTACCTGCTAATGCTTTTACTGTTTCTTTAAAATAATTCACTGTGATATCTTGAATAGTGACGACAGCTTCTTCAGCCTGCCTGGTCCATTCTTGGGCTTCCTTCTGCAGGGCTGCTATCCTTTTAGGACCCAGATCATCCTCATCCAAGGATTTCTATAGAAAGAATGGGAAACTGCACCGGTAAGAGAGAATAGTAATGTACAGACATTGGGAAATTGAAAGAAAATGGGTCACGTGGATTATTTCAACTACTTTTATTGCTGCTGCTCAGCCAATAGTTTCATAAATTCAGCACGCAGTTCCTTATTGAGAATGACAGGCTCTAAACTGGCCACCACCTGGAAGTCACAGGGATTCTCTGAGGCATAATGGGAGAAAAACAACCCTACTTTTACTTCATGTTACCAGAGTAACTTTCTCCAGAGAGGAATGCTGTCAATAACATAACTGTTTCTCTGTTAACACTAACACACAGTTGTTTAAGTGAGACCTGTGTTGTTAAGCACTCAGCATGGGCCCGGTACACGGCACTCGAGTCTTAGCTGTTGATACGGTTTCTTTTATTGACAGAAAGCTTTTCAACACCATGATTCTTTTCTGAAGATGACCCATGTAAAATGTCTTCATTTTTTATATCATTTAAAAAACACACGCCTCACAATATCATCTAATCTAACAGGCCAACACAGATTGAATCTTAAATGCGACTAAAGAAATAACGTGACAGACAGTACGTCAGATAAAGTGGAAACATAAAGAAGACATACCAAAATGTCAAGCTTACATAAAGCTGCAACTTCTCGCATCTCTCTAAATGGCTTCAGTAAATACTGGAAGTACGCGGTTGCCACGGTAACGTATTCCTGGTAGGCTTCATCTTCTTCCCGATACACTTCCACTAACGCCACCATGGTGTTGGCGCCCTCGTGGCCTTGAAGAATCTGGAAGGGGGAGGGAGTAAACGCGGCTGGAGTACGGACGGTGTAAGATCAGACCAGACAGACAAAAGGAACCGTAATGTTCTAAATGTCAGCGTATCAGGGTGGCCAGCAGAGTTCAACATTGTATCTCCACTGCCTACAATATACTCCGGCCGGCCGGCGTGGCTCAGCAGTTGAGCCCCCACCAATGAACCAGGTTCGATTCCCGGTCAGGGCACATGCCGGGGTTGCAGGCTCCTTCATCCCCAGCAGGGGGCGCGCAGGAGGCAGCCGATCCATGACTCTCATCATTGATGTTTCTCTCTCCCCCCCCCTTCCCTCCCTCTGAAATCAATAAAGATATCTTTTTAAAAAAAACCCACAAAAACAGAACAAAACTCGTTGAAAACGACCTGGAAGACTCATCACATATCAACAGCGTTAACAGTGGGTGTCTCCGGGTTGCCGATCGTGGATGGGGTTTCAGCATCACTCTTCTGGTGATGAAGGCTTTGCAATGCTGTGGCCCTTTTAAAAGTCTCATGAGGGCCTGGCAGGTGTGGCTCAGCGGTGGAGCCTCGACCCATGAACCAAGACTTGCCTGGTTTGATTCCCGGTCAGGGCACAGGCCCGGGTTTCAGGCTCGATCCCCAGCAGGGGGCGTGCAGGAGGCAGCCGATCCATGTTTCCATCTCCCTCTCCCCTTCCTCTCTCTCCTAAATGAATAGAAACATATATATATATTTT